CCCCTTTCTAAGGGCTCCATGTAACTTAACTCCCCTAACCCTATGAGTTGCCAATTATTATTATTCCCCACTTTACAGATAAGGAAACTGAGGCTCCAAGTGGTTTAAAAAATGAACTTGCCCAGATTGTAGTGTGTTGGTAGGTAGGGATAATCTCAAAGTTGAGAAATTTCACCCCAAAGCTCACCATCTGAGCTCCCATTCATCTCCCACCAGCTGAGATGGAACATTATGCTGTGCACAGAAGAGCTGCATGCACTGATCTCCAGCTTGTTTAGGTCTGAGTTAGAACATTCCGGCAACACTTGATTTCCCTCGGGGGAGAGAGAAATGAATTGCTATTTCAGACATCCGTTTAGTGTCTATACTTAGTCTTTCAAATCCTTCAGCAGTGTGAAGTGGGGATGAAAATGAACCCTAAAAAGGACTTTTGATGGCAAAAAGATCAGGAATATTTTCTCGAGTTGGATGTGGAAGGTGGTGGCCCAGGGGGAAGCACAGTTTCAAAGAGGACCTTCTAAAAATACTGCCCATTTACCAGAAAGACACAGACCACACCTCTGCCCTGCCCCCAGATGGCTTCTCAAAAGGAGAAATTGTCTTGCCACCCACGCCTTTCCTTGCCAGGGTGGTGGGGGGCCAAGAGCCATTCAAAAAGGCTGTAGAGTGCGCTGAGGCTTTGGAGATGGGTAGTTGGGTTCAAATCTCAGCTCACTAATCTATCTGAGCCTGCATCTTCATCTGAGAAACAAGAATACAAATAGCTGATGTGTAAATTAGACCAAATGGGATAACGCCTACGAGTCATGTCATTTGGTGCCTGGCACTTGCTGGGCACTGTGAATTCTAGTTCTGCATCTTTGCCACAGATGAAGAGAGGCTGCCATGCGCAGAAACATGCTGAGAGCTGGGAGGAGGTGAGCTTGAGGGATGCGATCCCTGCCCTCAGGGATTGCTGAAGGGCTCTCTCTGCCATGGGATGATCAGGGCCATCTTTTCCCTCCACCCTGCTCTGGCATTGTGGGTTGGAGAAACAATCCAACGAACGGGCCTTTGAAGCACTTTCTAAGCGTCTATAGACATTGGAAACTTGGGTCTGGGGATAGAGGACAGTCCCATGCCAAGATTCAAGTAGATGTTGGTGTGACTGGGAGGCAGCTGTGGCGTTGTGGTGAAACCTAGAGTCTTGGGCCTGAGTTTCAGCTTTGACACCCCCTAATGTAATGGGTTTCCTTTGACTGTGGGCTTCCCATGTAGCTGGCACCCCACACAGAACCCCCCTTGGCCTTCTGATGATCCTGTAGGACAATCTTTTTTTTTTTTTTTTTTGAGATGGTGTCTCATTTTGTCGCCCAGCCTGCAGTGCAGTGGCGCGATGTTGGCTTACTGCAGCCTCTGCCTCCCAGGTTCAAGTAATTCTCCTGCCTCAGCCTCCCAAGCAGCTGGGATTACAGGAGCGCACCACCATGCCTGGCTAATTTTGTATTTTTAGTAGAGACAGGATTTCACCATGTTGCCCAGGCTGGTCTCAAACTCCTGACCTCAAGTGATCCGCCTGCCTCGGCCTCCCAAAGTGCTGGGCTGCAAGGCGATCTTCATTCTCCAGATCTAATGTTGGGAAAACTTATGCTCAGAGAGGTCAAGTGACTTGGCTAAGGCATCGCAGCCAGAATTCAGATGCAAGCTCCCAAACCACGTGACCTTGGACAAGCCATTTCACTGAGGCATGTGAACCTCCTCCAAGCTCACATGGGCATAACACTCTACACTCTACCCTGCCTTCTCCCCAGAGCTTTTTGGGAACTCAGCTGTGGGGGATGGAGGCAGAAGTCCATTGTGAGCTGCAAATCCTTAATCACCCAAAAGGAAGTGCTTAAGATGCAGGCTTCGGTCTTAGGGAAGCAGGAAGTGGGGGGGCTGAAATGTGTATTGGGGGTTTCTGGGAGTGGATTTCTTCTTGTCCAGGTTGAGCCAGTGACACAGATCTTAGGACCTCTGGTAACTTTTTACCCAGGCAACTTCTCAGTGGTGGTGATAGGGGGCATGGTCAGACCATCCAAGCTGCCCTGCTGGCTGTGGGGGCCTTTTTTTTTTTTTTTTTTTTTTTGAGACACAGTCTGGCTCTATCACCCAGGCTGGAGTTCAGTGGTGCAATCTCAGTTCACTGCAGCCTCAACCTCCCCAGGCTCAAGCGATCTTCCCACCTCAGCCTCCTGAGTAGCTGGGACTACAGACACACACCACCACACTCAGCTAAGTTTTGTGTTATTTGTAGAGATAGGGTTTTGCCATGTTGTCCAGGCTGTCTCAAACTCCTGGAATTTCTACAGATGTGAGCCACCGTTCCTTGTGTGCGGGGGCTTTCTTGTTCCTATTAAGTCTGCAGGGTCCCCTTATGCAAAAGAGCAGAAAGCTCAGCTTCACAAAGTTTGTCCTCGGAAGAAATGGAAGGGAAAGTGTCCCTTTGTCACTCTCACAGAGGTAAGAAGCAATCTAATAATAATGATGGCCATCACACATATTGTACTCACCATGTAGAAGTTGTGCTACCTTAAAACTTCTGTTCATTCAGCACTTACTGATTGCCAGTCCCCTTTCTAAGGGCTCCATGCAACTTAACTCCCCTCATCCTTGTGAGTTGCCAATTATTATTATCCCCATTTTATGGATAAGGAAACTGAGGCTCTAAGTGGTTTAAAAAATTAACTTGCCTAGGTGGCAGTGTGTTAGTAGGCAAGGGTAGTCTCAAAGTTGGTAAATTTTACCCCAAAGCTCACAATACTTGCCTTCTTTCCCTTCTCAATGTATTTATCTCACTGTGTGCTTAACCACATGGCAATGTCATCCAGAGTTTGAAGCAGAGCTCATCAATAAGTAGGGTGGGCTAAATGTCTCCAGGCTCCTCCCTGCGGTCCCTCCCACTATCCCCCGTCTGTGATACGACCTGTGTCTCTATGCTTGGGCCTAGATAGGACAAGGGTGATCATTTGATTGGGAACATTTTGATTGGGAGGAAAGAGCACCAGCCTGGGGGTCTTGGTGGGGGGGAGTGGGAGAGCAGGTGCAGGGGCAGCCACCGACAGTCTACGGGGTCTTGTGCAAGTCATGTCCTTCCCAGGGTCTCAGTCTTGTCATCTGCAGAGTGAAGGAAAGAGGTCAAGCTTGAAGGTCCCTGGCAGACCCGATGCTGTGAAAAAACTGAGTCTGGGTAACTTGCCCAAAGTCCAAAGTCACACAACTCATTCATGGAGTTGCTACGGTCCATCTGGAGCTCTTGTCACGAGATCACACTGCCTCAAAGAGGAGGCAGAGTGCTGCAATGTAGGTTCTCAATAAAGAGCATGGGTGGAATGGGAGGCGGGCCGCAGGCAGGAGTTGGGGCAAAAGAGTCTTCCCTTACTGCTCTGAGAGAATAGATTTCGTGCCTGTGTCCCTGACCAAGGGGCTGGGAGAGGTGGAGCGTCCCACCCCTCAACCACCTCCCAGCTTTGGCCTCGCTCCAGGAAAAGGGTTGTGGCCCCATCTTTCAGTTCTGCTTCCTCTAGTCACGGCTGGCTGGGACCTCGCTGCAAGCCGTTTATGTTTGGATTCCTGCAGCCCCCACTCAACCGTCATGAACAAGCGGCCCCAGCCAGTGCCCCAGCTTGGACTGGAAAGATCATTCTCTGTGACGTCCAGGGTCTATGCTGAGCCTCTCCACAGGCAGTGAAAGCTGTGGATGAGTGAAAGAAAATAGGTCTCTGGGCTGGGTATGGTGGCTCACACCTGTAATCCCAGCACTTTGGGAGGCCAAAGTGGGCGGATCACCTGAGGTCGGGAGTTCGAGACCAGCCTGACCAACATGGCAAAACCCTGTCTCTACTAAAATTAAAAAAATTAGCCGGGCATGGTGCCAGGTGCCTGTAGTGCCAGCTACTTGGGAGGTTGAGTCAGGAGAATTGCTTGAACCCGGGAGGGAGAGGTTGCAGTGAGCCAAGATTGCGTCACTGCACTCCAGCCTGGGCGACAGAGTGAGAGTCCGTCTCAAAAAAAAAAGGCCAGGCGCAGTGGCTCATGCCTGTAATCCCAGCACTTTGGGAGGCCGAGGTGGGTGGATCGCGAGGTCAGGAGATTGAGGCCATCCTGGCTAACATGGTGAAACCCCGTCTCTACTGAAAATACAAAAAAAAAAAAAAAAAAAATTAGCTGGGCATGATGGTGGATGCCTTAGTCCCAGCTACTCGGGAGGCTGAGGCAGGAGAATGGCATGAACCCGGGAGGCGGAGGTTGCAATTATGCCACTGCACTCCAGCCTGGGCGACAGAGCGAGAGTCCGTCTCAAAAAAAACAAACAAACAAACAAACAAACAAAAAAAACACTAAGAAAAAAAAGAAAGAAAATTAGTCTCTGGAATGGGGTGGCCACTTGCGTGTGTGTTTTCTCATGAGTTTACCCTTCAATTTATTCTCTTCTGGGCCCAGAATAGGACAGTAGGAGGCTCCCTCTGGTCCTCCAGCTTCAGGGCCAGCTCTCCTCTTACCTCCTCCAGGAAGCTCCCTCTGTTTCCTTCCAGCCTTCATCTGCATGTCATGTGTGGTGGGTTGAAACGTGGCCCCCCAAAATATATGTCCATATCAAATCCCTGGAACCTCTCAGTGTGACTTTATTTGGGAAAAGGGTCTTCGCAGATAGAATTAAGTTAAGGGACTGGGTGCAGTGGCTCACTCCTGTAATCCCAGCACTTTGGGAGGCTGAGATTGGAGGATCACCTGAGGTCAGGAGTTTAAGACCAGCCTGGTTAACATGGCAAAACCCCATTTCTACTAAAAATACAAAAATTAGCTGATCATGGTGGTGAGCACCTGTAATCCCAGCTACTCAGGAGACAGAGGCAGGAGAATCACTTGAACCGGGAGGTGGAGGTTGCAGTGAGCTGAGATAGCACCACTGCACTCTAGCCTGGGAAACAGAGCAAGCCTCTGTCTCAAAAGAAGAAAAAAAAAAAAAAAAAAGAATTAAGGAGCTTGAAATGACATCATCCTGGATTATCTAGGTGGGTCCTAAATCCAATGACAAGTGTCTTTATAAGAGAAAGAGGAGACTTGAGACATGAGGAATGGGTGATGTGGCCACTAAAGCTGAGTTTAGAGTGATGCAGCCACAAGACCACAAGTCAGGGATCACCAATAGTTTCCAGCAGCTAGAGGAGGCAAGGAAGTGTTCTCCCCTAGAGCCTAGAGCCTCTGGAGGGAGCGTGGCCCTGCTGACACCCTGATTTCAACTTCTGGCCTCCAGAACCATGAGAGAGTAAGTGTTATTGTTCTGAGTTACCTGGATGCTGGTACCTTGTTTCAGCAGCCCTGGGAAATGAATATACCATGGAAACATGGACCTGAACCAGGGATCAGGGCAGGGGCCTTGGAGTCACACAGATGAGCCTTCAGCTAGGTTTTCCCCAGCAAGAGCTGCATGATCTTGAGGAAGCTGCTTGTCCTCTCTGAGTCTCAAGTTCTTCATCTGCCAATAGAGACAATAATGCTTACTTCCTAGGTTTTAACAGCTTTATTGAGATGTAATTCACATATCATACAATTTGCCCACTTAAAAAGTACAGTTCATGCCTGTAATCCCAGCACTTTGGGAGGCTGAGGAGACAGGCGGATCACTTGAGGTCAGGAGTTTGACAGCAGCCTGGCCAACATGGTGAAACCCTGTCTCTACTAAATATGCAAAAATTAGCTGGGTGTGGTGGTGGTGGGGTGCCTGTAATCCCAGCTGCTCGGGAGGCTGAGGCAGGAGAATCGCTTGAACCTGGGAGGCAGAGGTTGCAGTGAGCCAAGATTGCACCCCTGCACTCCAGCCTGGGTGACAGAGACTCCGTCTCAAAAAAAAAAAAAAGTACACTTCAATGGTCTTTTGGGAATACTCAGAGAGTTGTGCGACCATCTCCCATCCCCACAGTCAATTTTAGAACATTTCATCACCCCCTAAAGAAACTCCATACCCATCAGCAGTTGTTCCCCATTTTCTTCCAAAATCCCTCTCCACTAAGCCCTAGGCAACCACTAATATGCTTTCTTTATTTAAAAACAAAATTAATAGAGATAGGCTTTTTCTATGTTGCCCAGGCTGGTATTGAACACCTGGGCACAAGCAATTCTCCCGTCTCAGCCTCCCAAAGTGCTGGGATTTCAGGCATGAGCCACCATGTCCTGCCTCTTCTACTTTCTGTCTCTATGGATTTGCCTGTTCTGGACATTTCAGATAAGTAGAATCATACAATATGTGACCCTTTGTGTCTAGCTTCTTCACTTAGCATATTTTTTTAAGGTTCATCCATGTTCCAGCATGTATCAATGCTTTCTCCCTTTAATGGCAGAATACTTTATTGTATAGATAAGCAACATTTTGTTTATCCATTTATTTTTTGATGGATATTTGGGCTGTTTTAATATTTTGGCTATTATGAATTATCCTTTTACTAACAGTCACGTACATGTTTTTATGTGGATGTATCTGGTTTTTCTTGTTTTCTTTTGTTTTATTAATACATAATATTATACATATTTATGGGGTACATGTGAGTATTTATTACATGCATAGATTGTATAATGATCATGTCAGGATATTTGAGGTATCCACATCTGGGATTGTTTAAAGATTAAATGAAATAGTGTTAAAAGTATTTAATATGCCCTTCAAACGATGAGGAAATCTTAGAATCTGCTCAGACTCCTTCAGTTTACATATTAGGAAACTGAGGCACAGAAAGGAGCAGAGACTTGCTCAAGTCCGCCCAAAGCAGTAGAATATTGCAGTTAAATGCAGGGCCTTCAGTCAGACTGTCTGGGTTCAAATCCTGGTTCCACTCGGACGTGGGTTTCCTTACATAAATCACTTCACCTCTCTGAGCCTCGGTTTTCTCATATGCAAAGTCAGGATAATAATAGTACGTTCCTTACATAGTTGCTCATATGAGTATTAAACGTGACAGCTCATGTGCTTGGCATATAGGAGGTGCTTTATAAATCTTAGCTGTTACCACTCATGGCATTGCCAAATGTGGGACAGGTCTCCTGACTCTCTTGTGTGAGATTGATGGAATCTACACTTCCTAGTTCCCTCTTCTACCTCCTGGGTATCTTCTCATATGTTTGTAAGTTCCTTGGAGGAAGGGAATGTGGCTTCCTCTCTCCACCACCCTGAGCATATAAGAGGTGCTGAATGACCACTTTTATTCACTCCTCGCATCCCCAGCCCTCACCAGCTGGGAGTTGTTGTAGGTGTCAATCCTCTGCCTCTTTCCAACACCCTGTGAGGTGACTGAGCATGTCTTCCCTCCCAGGCAGCTCACAGTGTGCCACCATGGAGTTGGGGCCCCTAGAAGGCAGCTACCTGGAGCTTCTCAACAGCGATGCTGACCCCCTGTGCCTCTACCACATCTATGACCAGATGGACCTGGCTGGAGAAGAAGAGATTGAGCTCTACTCAGGTGGGCCCTCCTCCCTCTAGTCTCTTCCGGTATCCCCCACCCCTCAGCTTGCTGTAGAGACGGCAATCAAGGGAAGTTCTGGCCCCTGTGCTCCCGTCAGCACCACGGACAGCTCCCACGCCTGTGGGACGCTCTCTGCAGATAGGGATGATCTGCTAGCCCCGCCCCGCCTCTCCCTCCTTCCCCACCAGCCCTCTTCCCAGAAATTCCCTGCTTCATCCAAGGGACTTTTCCTCCCAGAACCCGACACGGACACCATCAACTGTGACCAGTTCAGCAGGCTGTTGTGTGACATGGAAGGCGATGAAGAGACGAGGGAGGCTTATGCCAATATCGGTGAGGAAGCACCTGAGCCCAGAAAAGAACAATCAAGGGCAAGGGTTCTTTGCTGTCACTTGTCAATATCACCCATTCATCATGAGCCACGTCAGGCCCCTCCCACAGAAATCATTGCAAGGGTGATGTGGAGCAACGGCTGGAAGAACGGAGACTCCAGGGAAGAGCGGGGAGATGGAGTCCAGTGAGAGAAATAGGTCCCTTCTATAATGACCACCAAGAAAACAAAAATCTCATGTTTACATCCTCCACCTCCATGTCTATACCCATTTCTGCTTCTTGTTCTTCTGTCTATCCTTCCTATGAAGCCCATACCATACGCCTCTTTCCCTTTTCCTCCCAGCTCCTTAGCCAAGCTACTCTAGTATTTGTAATAACTAGCATTTACTGGATACTCATAGTATGCTCATTGCTGTCCATATATTATCATCTGGAATCCTTACAACAACAAAGGAAATACATATTGTTAGTTTCTGTCTTTTACAAATGAGGAAATTGAGGTTTAGAGAGGTGAAACGACCTACCCAAGTTTTCTTTAGAAGTAGTAATGTGCAGATCTGAAATTCTAACCTAGGTCTTTCTCATTTCAAAGTCCCCATTTTTAACCACAAAAAAGAAAGTGTCTGAGGTTGGAAGATTTGCTAAGGCTTAACCAAAGAAGTCAATTTGTAGCTTTAAGAAGAGCTACAGCTTTCAGACAAGGGCAGGACTCTTGGGAAGAGGTGGTGGTGGTGTTGCTGCTAGTGGTTTGTTTTTTGGGAGAGATAAGTGGGATAGAGAATCCCCTCTCGTCAGCACCACCACCACCTCATACAGAGCCTCTGTTGAAATAGAAAAAAGTGGTCCTATTCTGGAGGATAGAGCCCCTACTAGGAAGTAACTGCTTGGCTAGCAAAGTGCAAACTGGATTCCTGCCCCCATTTTCCCTGTTGGCTTGGGGCACCCTTGTGCAGTGAACAACCTGCAAAACTCTTCTTAGTGGTCCTTTTCCTGGCCACCCAGGATCTGCAGCATTCAGCACTTCTGTGCTTGATCCAAATGTGGCCATTATTTCCCCAGAGCACAATTTATTGAAAATCACACAAAGAAGAAAATGGAGGAGACTAGTAATTGTTCATGTTTCAGAAATTACAGAACTGAGAGCTTGATGGTTTCCTTCCCTTCCTGGGGGTTTACATGGGGGAAGCAGAAGTGATTGGGGCTGAGGACATTCACATTTCCTCACAACTGGAGGCAGTCATTAAGGATTTGGGCATGTCGTAGTATTTGTCCCCCAACCCCCCGCCCTTAGGGGCATCTCCACAGGCAGTGGAAGCTGTCTCAGCAAGTAGGTGAGGCAGTGTGTTAGTCCATTTTCTGTTGCTTAAAACAACATACCTGACATTGAGTAATTTATAAAGAAAAAAATTATTTCTTAACAGTTATGGAGGCTGAGAAGTCCAACGTTAGGGGCTGCATCTGGTGAGCGCCTTCTTGCTGGTGAGGACTCTCTGCAGAGTCCCGAGGCAGTGTGGGGCATCATGAGGCAAGAGGTTTTGGTGTGATAGTCTCTCTTCCTCTTCTCATAAAACCACTAGTCTTACTCCCATGACAACCCATCAATTTATTAAACTGTTTATCCACTAATCCATGAACGAATTAACCCATTCGTGAGGGAAGAACCCCAATCACCTCTTAAGGGCCCCACCTCTCAATACTGCTGCATAGGGGATTACATTTATACATGAGTTTTGGAGAAGACAAATATTCAAATCATAACAGGCAGCTTCACCCAAGTCTGCTTCTCAAGTCTGTGGGTTTTCTCTCTGCTTCTGGAAGGTGAAGCCCAGGCCTGGGCAAGTATTCTTTTGCAGGATCCTGAAATATGACCTTAGCTTCCAAATGTGTAAAAGGGAGATAATATTCACACTCATCATCATGGGATGGTTGTAAGACTGAATAAGTCACAATGTGTAAAGCATTTAGAAAAGGAATTTGCACAGATTAAGCATTCAGTAGATGTTAGGTACTACCCCACAACCACCATCATCATTATTATCACCATCATTATTATCATCTTCATTTTCATCACCTTCATTATGGCCATCATTCCATTCCTCAGCTCAGAAGCCTTCTGTGGCTCTCCATTGCTTATAAAATCAAGTTCTGACTTTCCCCAGCATGAAACTTCTACCACCATCACCTGTCTCTCAGGGTTTCCTAAACATACTCTGAACATCTTTCCTCACTCTGTCACTATGACCCATAAAGCTATCTTTTCTCCTTCTCCCATACTCTGCCCCATCTTTCAAGGCCTGGTTCCAGGATCCCTCCCTCCAGGAAGCCTTCCCAGATTGCCCCATCCCACTATACACTTTTTTTCTCGGACCTTGTGTCATGGTGCCTGTATTCCAAAGGCTCCGAGCCATGTACCCCTTTATATAGTTACCACTATTTATTGAGTGCCTACTGTATACCAGCTACTGTGTTGGATGCTCTAGATGTAGAACCTCTAATTATCACCATCGATCCCTGGGTAATAGGCATTATTTATTCATCTTACACAGATGAGGAAATGGAAGCCCAGAGTGGTTAAGTAGCTAACACGAGATTGCACAGCTAGTAGGGCTAGTGGAGAGTAGAGGTGGAATTTGAACTCAAATCCTGCAGTAACTCTACCATTCTGCCTTGCTCTTCTTGGTAGCAGTAGATAAGTTTTCATGGATACATACCTCACCTTTTCAATTAGTTTAAGAGCCCCTGGAGCGTCAGTGTTCATTCATTTGTTTGATCGTTCATTCATTCAACAAACATTTCTTGAGCCCCCACTGTGTGCCAGGCCCAGAGGGTCTCCAGCCCAAGGCCTGGCACACAGTAGGCCTTCAGTGAGACCTTGTTGATTGACTACACTTTTCCTTGTCTGGGCAGCGGAACTGGACCAGTATGTGTTCCAGGACTCCCAGCTGGAGGGCCTGAGCAAAGACATTTTCAGTAAGTTTGTGGGGGCGGTGGGGGGGCAGGTCTTGGCTCAGCCTGCATTTCCTGACTTCTTCCTTGGGGGGCGCCCTAATACTTGATGACCATTCATTTATGGGCAGTCAGACTCCTCTCCCCAAGGTGGGGACAATAGAGACTCACCTTGGGCTTCCACTGATTGTGTGAGTTGGTCTCTGGTTTTTCTCAAAGTAGAGTACATAGGACCAGATGAAGTGATCGGAGACAGTATGGAGATGCCAGCAGAAGTTGGGCAGAAAAGTCAGAAAAGACGTGAGTGAGCCCCTCCCTGATCCAACCTACCCTTGCTTGAGACCTGGCCTTTCCTTGACTCCAAAGCCTGCTGTGGCTCCAACTTGCTTCCCTCGCTAAGTCCTGCCTGGCTGGGAGGTGCTTTAAAAGCCGACAGGAGCTTTAAAATGTACATCTGATTATTTCATGGCCCTGATAACCCTCCAATGGCTACAAAATACATGCCACGAGGCCTGCGTGGCCCTTCCTCCCTCTCCAAACCCACTATGAGCCACCACACTTCAGCCACCACCAGCTTCTCCACTCCTGTAACCCATGTGCCCTTTCAAGCCTCAGGGCCTTGGCATTTGCTATAGTCTCTACCTGGAATGCTCTTCCCCCAGTTCTTCCCATGGCTGACTCCTTTGAATCTTTCTGGTCTTGGCTAAACTGTCACCTCCTCCTGGAACCCTTCTCTGACCACCCTTCCCTGTAGATTAGCTCAGTTATTCTCACCTTGCGTGTCTTTTTCCTTGCAGTTTAGCGCTCATTACCATCTGGACATATTTTATGCCTTGCTCTGCCACTGTGAGCACAGGGACCTCGTCTTTCTTGCTCATGACTGCTTCCTCAGCATCTAGTGCAGTGCCTGGTATGCAGTAGCAACTCAATAGATAGCTGTTGAATGAAAACACCTGCAAAATGGGTGTAACAGTTAACTGAGTACTTACTATGGGTCTGACTATGGGTAAGCCCTGTATCTATTTATTTATTTTTTAAACGGGTGAATCACACACAGGGTATAAGAATTTTAAAAGTGCAAAGAATATTCAGTGAAGGCCAGGCGCGGTGGCTCACGCCTGTAATCCCAGCAGTTTGGGAGACCAAGGGGGGTGGATCACTTGAGGTCAGGAGTTTGACACCTGCCTGGCCAACATGGTGAAACCGGGTCTCTACCAAAAAGTACAAAAATTAGCCGGGTGTGGTGGTGCATGCCTGTAATCCCAGCTACTCAGGAGGCTGAGGCAGGAGAATCGCTTGAACCTGAGAAGCGGAGGTTGCAGTGAGCCAAGATCACGCCACTGCACTCCAGCCTGGATGACAGAGTGAGACTCTGTCTCAAACAACAACAACAAAAAGAATATTCAGTGGAAAAAAAAAAAATCTCCCTCCCACTTCTGTTCTTTCAGTTTTGCTATCTTAGTCAACCTATGTGACCAGCTTCCTTCTTCCCTTGTCAAAAATAAAACAAGCTCTTGTATTTGCTTTAATTTTCCATGCAAATGACCACATTTTATTTACACTATTCTGTACTTCGCTTTCTTCATTTACTATGTCTGGGAGGTCACATTCCATATTATTGAGGGAGAGGACATGGTCCTATCTTCAGCAGTTTCTTTATTTTCTTTGTTTTGCTTCTTTATGTTTTCATTTGATAAATATTTCCCCCCAAGATTTTATCATGAAAGTTTTCAGTCGGCCACAGTGGCTCACATCTGTAATCCCAGCACTTTGGGAGGCCAAGGCAGGCAGATCACCTGAGGTCAGGAGTTTGAGACCAGCCTGGCCAGTATAGCGAAACCCCATCTCTACTAAAAATACAAAAATTAGCCAGGCATAGTGGCAAACGCCTGTAATCCCAGCTACTGGAGAGGTGAGGGCAAGATAATCACTTGAACCCAAGAGGCAGAGGTTGCAGTGAGCCAAGATTGCGCCACTGCACTCCAGCCTGGGCAACAGAGCTAGACTCTGTTTCAAAAAAGAAAAAAATGTTTTCAAGATACAGAAAAGGTGAAAGAATGGTACTATGAAGGTCCATATACCCACCATGTACCACTTTGATTCTACAATTAATGTTGGGTTTTATTCGTCTTATCACATCTCTATCCATCTTTCCATCCCTCTATCCATCCACCCACTCATTCTTTATATTTTTAGTACATTTCAATGTACATTTCAAGTGTAAATTGCAGATTTACACTTCCCCTTGTGTACTTCAGCATCCTTTATTTTAAGGCCATGTGGTGTTTTCTTGGGTAGATGAACCATAATTTGTTTAAGCAGACCCTTGCTAAGGGATACATGGGTTTTTAATCTGTTGATGTGAGTGCTTGATACTCACTCACGGATTTCTGGCATACTCCTGCAATGTAGGAACCACCACCCCCATTTCATAGATGTGAGATCAAAGGTTCAGAGAAGCTGCACTGCAAAGGCACACAGCTAGGAAGGGACTCGATAGCAAGTTGCTTTGCTTTGTTCTGTTTTGTTTTTTAGTTCAAACCCGTGTTGTGTCCCCATTTGTGGCTAGGTCTCTTCTGCTGCTGCACTGCCTGGGGTGGTTTGAGATGGGATTTGGGTTCAAGCCAAGGAGCTGGGGTTGGAATGGTTAGAGGAAGGGGAGATGAAGGGACGTGCAAGACCACTTCCCAACCTGGAAGTTAAGGCCATATGGCCTGCTGGAGTCCTGAGCCTCTCCTGGCTTGGGACATCCTCTCCCTGGGGCAGCTGACCATATGTTCTCTCTGCAGCCTTCCCAGAGGAGCTTCCGGCAGACCTGAAGCACTGGAAGCCAGGTGAGCAGGGCAGGTGGGCTGGGGTTCGGAGGGGTGGATACCTTGGGGAGAGGATGGAAGAGATTGAACTCCTGGCCCAAGTCAGTTGGGGATGGTGCATGGTACAGCCCCTGCCCTTCTTTAGGCACAGCCTGAGAGCTTGGGGCCTCTTAGGGTACCCTGAAGGGCTCACGACTGTTTGTGGAAGGTGGTAGGGCCTTGGAGCTAACAGCCTGTTCATAGGTTCTATTCTGCCCGAGCTCTCCGTGTGGAAGCCCTAGGGTCCTGCTCAGCAAAGCTCTCAGAGCCAAGTCACAGGGAGAGGACTGGGGGGCTGCCTGGCACAGAGCAGTTGCTGATCAACACAGCTGCAGCCAGGGCTGAGAGGATGACAAGCATTTCCTCTGTCAGGAGAGAGATTCACGCCACTCTGGGGCCCTCCCCATCCCAGGAAGGCCCCTCCAAGCACCCAGCCTCTAACACAGCCCCCTTCCTCACAGCTGAGCCCCCAGCTGTGGTGACTGGCAGTTTCCTGGTGGGACCAGTGAGCAACTCCTCCACCCTGCCCTGCCTGCCACTGCCTACTCTGTTCAACCAGGAGCCAGCCTCCGGCCGGATGCACCTAGAGGAAACCAATCAGATGCCCAGTATGTTAGGGGGCTTGGAGAGGGTGGGCTTTCTCCCTCTTGGGAGGTGGATAAGGAATTGACACCAAGGCAGGGACTGCCAGGAACTGGACCTCCCCTCTCCCCGACCCTATCAGTGTCACTCACCTCTGCCCCAGCCAGTTTCATCCTTGGGGCCCCCATCAGTTCAATCCCTGGGAGAGAACATGCCTCGGAAGGAAACACATCCGTGCAAGGATTAGGAGGGAATCTCCACCAATTAGGGCATTCACCTGCCAGCCTCATTCATTCATCAGTTCTTCATGGAGCTCCTTCTCTGTGCCAGCTGCTCTGCTAGGTGCTAAGAATGCCATCAGGGCAGGACAGAAACAGCTACTGCTCTTAGGGAAATTAGGGTCCTTTAGGGAAGTCAGACATTAATCAAATAAGCAAAAGCAGAATCACAAACACAGGTGCTATGCAAGATCCCACCTCACTGCCTTTGTCTCTTGCAGTGCCTTCCTCCAGTTCCTCGTTGAGCTGCCTGAATCTCCCTGAGGGACCCATCCAGTTTGTCCCCACCATCTCCACTGTGCCCCAGGGGCTCTGGCAAATCTCTGGGACTGGAACAGGGGTCTCCAGTATATTCATCTACCACGGTGAGTGCAGGGCCTGGCTCCCCGACCACCTCTCCCTCCTACCTGACTACTCCCTGACCTCATCCTCCCCATACTCCACATACTTGGCAGTGGTGCCCCAGCACCTTCTCATGATCCTCCCTCCCCAGCACAACTTTCTCTGTCCCCATTTCCCAAAAATCAAAGCAGAGGGGCAGAGATTACTGAGGCGATCTGGGTGCATGACCAAGAGTGGTTGTATGGCCTTCTATATGTTGCTTTCCCCTTCTGACCCTTAGTTTTTCCTTATTTTTTATTTAATGTTTTTGTTTTTAAATTGTGACATCAATACATGTGCATTAATAAGCTAAAGATAAGTGATGTTTACAAGAATTCACTGTTTCACTCTTTTAGTATGCTGATGTGAATAGTTTGGTGTGCATCCTTGCATAGCTTTCTCTGATTTGTCTTGTTTCGTAATCAGTAAAATGGTCCCTACTGACCCACCACACTGAGGGCTTGTGAATTGTCCCAGGGAAGGTGTGTTTGGGCTTTTAGGGATGAGGCCAGGAGGATGCTTCCACTCAAGCCCAGAGCATCCGTTCATGGTTGCATGACAGTTTCAGTATAATGCACTGGTATCTCAGAAGCAGAGAAGCAGTTCCTGATATCTAGGAAATTGAGCACTTACCACACAGCAGGAAGAGTGAAATAGTAGTACCTGCCCTAAGCTCCTTATGAGCTAATTGCGCCCATTTCACAGATTGGAAAAGCAAGGTTCCAGGAGCTAGATGTAAATCCAGAGCTCTTTACTCAGCTCTGTCCTGAAATATCTTCCTTTGGAAGTTCTCCTCTCTTCTCTCCAGACTTCGTGAGCTCCACAGCCCGGTTTGGAGTAGGGGTGACCCAAGTGCGTTTCTGGAATCAATACCTGGTTGTTCTCACACCCCTCTCTACCCCCAATGTAGGTGAGGTGCCCCAGGCCAGCCAAGTACCCCCTCCCAGTGGACTCACTGTCCATGGCCTCCCGACATCTCCAGACCGACCAGGCTCCACCAGCCCCTTCGCTCCATCAGCCACTGACCTGCCCAGCATGCCTGAACCTGCCCTGATCTCCCGAGCAAACATGACAGGTAAGAACCCTCAGGGCCTGTGAGATGTACTAGAAGCAGGATTGAGGCCCTGGGGAAGGAATTGTCTTGGATAAGATCCACAAGCAAAGCTGCCTGTAGGGACAGCAGGTCATGTTTAGGGGTCAGTCAGGACAGGGAAGGTCTCTGGGGACTGGAGGCATGGTTGTGGGGGAGGGGACAGCCAGAGAATCCACATCCCATCCAAATACAGCCATCAGCCTTCAGCTGCTTCTTACCCAGCAGAAAAGCCAGACAATGTGGCCAGGCCTTTTGAAGCTGAAAACCCTGATTTTTACATAGATATTGTGATTTTTTAATTTTAATTTTATTATTTATTTGTTTATTGTTGAGATGGAGTCTCGCTCTGTTGCCCAGGCTACAGTGCAGTGGTGCAATCTCAGCTTACTGCAACCTCCACCCTACAGGTTCAAGCGATTCTCCTGCCTCAGCCTCTGGAGCAGCCGGGATTACAGGTGTGCACCATCACACCTGGCTAATTTTTGTAATTTCAGCAGAGACAAGTTTTACCATGTTGGCCAGGCAGGTCTTCCTGATCTCAAGTGTTCCACCCGCCTTGGCCTCCCAAAGTGCTAGGATTACAGGCGTGAGCCACTGCACTCCACCTGATATTGTGATTTTTTTTTTTTAAACATAGGTGAAATTTTTAGAAGTACAGTTGGCCAAAGAAAGACACCTTTGAGTTAGATACAGCCTCAGGTCGATAATCTTATAACCTCCAACTTACGAAACTCAGCCCACGAAGGCTGTAAGGACTAAGTGGCCCAGAGGGAGGGGAGTCCCCAGGGGTAACCCTCACCCTAAATCTGGTACCTGCTTCTCCATCTCCAGAGCACAAGACGTCCCCCACCCAATGCCAGGCAGCTGGAGAGGTCTCCAACAAGCTTCCAAAATGGCCTGGTGAGTGG